CCATGGAAACCTTGTCGTAGTCCCAATCAAAGCTGGCTGTGCGATATCCCGACTCGGTCCTCGGATATGTGTATCATGGGGCCAACCATGCATGTCTATATGAGAGGGCTTCATGTGATATAGAACGTAATAGTCTTGCTAAGAGGCATTACGATAGATACAGCTTTTTTTCCACTGAACAGCTCGAAGAAATCAAAGTTGGTTTCATTCAAGCCTTCCATTTCTGGAAGTTCAAGCCACCCAACCAAAAGCACCTCGGCGGCTTCATACATGCATTCCGCGGAGTATGCTAGCTAGCATTGTTAACAACTGCATGTTTAAGTTCCAAACCAATGCAATGAAGGCCTTGGGCAAAAAGTGATTGAGGGATGTTTGCATGGGTTGGCTACTTATATGCTACTTGATCAAGGCCCCCACCTTCGGAGCTTGTGCGTGCTGTAGGCACGAAACTGCATTCCATGGGGTAGTCGGCATAGGAGCTCACGATATATGAACAGAATGCTAGGATCTTGACCCCAAAAAGCTGTGGCGGCACAAACCTTCCGCCCAGTAAACAAAATGACAAAACGCATGTCCCAGCAAGCCCTCAACCGTGCCAAGGCCGACCCGATGTGAAGACCTTCCTTTTCCAAGATGAGGCCGACATGGGACCTGCCGCGGGACAGACAGCCATCAGAATTGAAATGAATGATTTGGCCCAGGCTAACTCAATTCTTCCGATTCAAAGGACACCAGGGCTGATATCATCAGAGCCCAAGACTTGCATCTCGATCCATTTTCCCACCGACATCCATCGCGTAGGAGTGACCTATCGATATTCACAGATATTCACAGCGAGTGCTCGACACATTGTGTCGATCAGAAAAGCCCCACAAGTAGAAGACTTCACTTCTACCTCTGAAAACCCCTGACCGTGCTCGTCACGGCCACCCCAATCAATCATTCCATTCAGTTTGTCGAAGCATATGCCTTAGCGTTTGCAACTACAGCATGTGCGCATGCACGCCCGTGCAGTACTATATCATATGCAAGAATATAAAACGCACACGCATGCCGTCTAGATGCCTGTTTTGCAAGGGCCTTGGCTTCTTCCATGCTTTTGCCATCTTTGATCGCTGCAACCTTTGCAACGTGATACGCAGAGCTTTTGCGTGAATTGCGTTTCTTTCGCTCGTTTGGAGTCAGTGTGGACGACGATGATGGCTTGGCAGGTGTTTCCTTGGCTTTACGCGTGTTCTTTGCTTTTTGCTTTGCGGCCGCTTTGGGTTTGGAAGCGGGTCGCTTTCGTTTTGGAACTGGCTCCGACTTAGGATCAACCTTTGCAGACCTTTTTCTGCCCTTTGGCTTCTCCTCCTCCTGCTCCTCCTCTTCCTCCTCCAAATCCTCCTCCAGATTCTCCCCCTCTGGGAGTGATGTGCTGGCTGTACTCATGGACTTCCTCCCACGGCCTTTGCCCCGTCCGCGACCCCGCCCACGCCCTCGCCCTTCACGCTGCTCCTCTGGTGCGATCGGCTTGACATCCCTCAATGCATCCGGAGGTGTTGGCACTCGAGGATGGTGCGCAGGCGTTGCAAGCACCTGACCAAAAATTAAAAAGAGCAGCTCACTGGAACCCTTGTTGCGCTATGTGTCTCATAGGTATGCGCGTACAACCGTACATATCGATATCCTATCTTTCATTACTGGCCTCAACCGTGGGCTTCTCAGGTGGTGTTGAAGTAGGCGCTGGCTCTCCAACTGGTGCCGAGTCGGCTGGCGATGTTCCCTCATCAGCTGAAAGCTCGCCATCTTTGGCCCAAATGGATCCAAGAGATAAAGTCCGAGCATGCAACAATTTGTGCCTCTCTAGGGCCGCAGCGCGCTCTTCTGCCGCAGCTTGGGCCTTCTTCTCGTCCTCGGAGGCTGCTGCACTAGCTGCTGAAACCACCAAAGCCTCCACCGATGTACCCACAGACTCCAAAGGCAACGTGTCGGTTGCATCAGTGCCTGAGCCGGGATGGCAGTCATGACAGGTCGAGAATGATGGCATTTCAATAACATAACATCCATTTGGAGAGTGTTTTTGTTTTGTCAAAACATGTCAAAACCTATAGCTGCCAGGATGCAATTTGGTAGTGTGGGGTTGGCGCTCGCAGCAGTGGTCTCGGACTTCTTGAAGCAGCCAAGATCTTCCAAACGCAGCTGGTCATGATCCGGGGGCTGCTCAAAGGGGTTGTCCTCCATCTTCACATCCTGACGCTTGTTCCTGCGCTTCGACGGCACTGGGGGCGGCGGCATTTCCACCTTGCGCTTCAATTCCAGGCTTCCAGCCAAAGTCGGACTGTGATCTGCAAGCAACTGGGCCTGCTCCTCCAGAGTCACTGCATGCATCATCTCCATAGCCTGGGCCAGCGCCAGCTCTTCCTCGAGCAATTCCAAGGCAAGCTCCTCATCTTGAAGAGTTTGCAGAGTCTTTTCAGTCGAAGCCAAATCGGCGCCGGCTGCGGCACTAGCTTGGCTATCAACCACCGCCTTGGATACGGCATCGCGCTTGGCCGCCGCACTTGCACATGGCTTTCCATGCAATCTGGCCAAAGTAGGGTATGCACAGTCGGATGCACGAAGATTCTCCAAAGGCCCCAGCAGCTGACATTTGAGGCAAGAGAAGCCAAAGGTTTTGTCCTTGACGATGTGGTGTTCATTCAGCTCCACAGGCAAATCCATAATCTCCTCGTGCGTTATACTCGTGGTGGCTTGACCTTGCACGACAATGGCCAATGCACTTGTAATGGAGGTCTTAGTCTTAAAAGGCTGGAGATGTGACACATGGTTGAATTAGAGTCGCCTCCCATGCCTACATGCACTAGCCAAAAGAGATCCAGAGACCACAATAAGCTTTCTTACTTTTGCCATCTACGTTGTTTTTTTTTTTTTGTGGCCTCTCCACCTCTCTTGGTAGCTACGCGCATATATGCATGCATGTCTCGACATACAGATTGCAACCACGAAACCGCTCGTGCCAGGGCCATCCATCCATGCCGTGCTCGAAGCGAGGTGTCTTTGGCCTGACAGATCCGGGAGGGGAAGTGTGTATGGTGTTGGAGCATGTGCAAATGGATTCAACAAACCTGGCCTTTTGTTTCAGCCCCCATATCATTGTTGGCAGCGTTGTTCAGTGGAGATGCTTCGTTGGTACCCTTGGTCTGGTCGTGACTGACCTTCTCAACGGATAGGTCCTGAAGGGCAAGTGCACCCTAAAGATCGTCCCAGATCTACAACAACAAATCTAGAATTGTGGAAAGCGAAGAGCAACAACATGTTGGGTTCCTTTGGGTTGACCACTGGGTCGGGTTCACCTTCATCTTCTTCCTCACCTTCTTCCCCACACCCTTCATCCCATGCGTCATCACCCTCATCACCAGGTGCTGGTACAGGTGTAGACGTAGAAGCGGTGTCGTGATCCACACCCACAGATGAAGACGAGCCACCTCAGAGCTGGGAGTCACTGGTAGGGTCAACCAATTTCTTCAGAAATAGCATTAATGCAATGCATATGTCATGCCCGGCCCTGTCCAAGCGATAATGAAACCAAAGTACTTCTTTCAGGCCCGGGAATCCCAGCAACCTCCATGATGGCACGAAGTTCCCACTCCTTTGGCCGATGTCCTCGTTTAATGGCACGAGAAGCCGCATAGACCAGGGTGCGAAGGATCCATGCTTCGCAATGGCATTGGTTGCCTTAGAGCTTACTTGCCAGCGATGGGTACCTATTGGCCCTGCACCCCCACAACATGTAAAGGGCATCATGCAAGAACATGCAAGTCAGACGGCTTAGGCTAGGCTAAAAATGGACATCAATTGAGCCCCAAGCGTTCAGGGAGTTTCTTCCCCCGTGGACGGCATGCTACCAAGAAGGCCTCCACCGCCTCCTGCAAAAGTGACAAAGAAGGTCGCATTCCTTGGTGGCCACGGACCGCGGTTCCAAGGAAAAAACTTTGAGCAAGTCCAAGGGCTACAGCCTTCCAACTCCCTCCCCGGTCCCTCCCCCCAAATACCCGGTTGTTCATGTATGCAATCTAGGCTCCAAGATGTTCAATGATCGTTTTCACAACCTCCACATTCTGACAAACTTCCTTACGATCAATCGCCTTCTTGCTTTTGACTTTAGCCATACACCCAGTAGCTGCAAGATGGCATAGAGACTCGATGCTGTGCCAAGCTCCTAGGAGCTTCTGCACAGCTTCCGGGTGGATAGACATGGCCAAAGCTGACACCCTGATGGAAATGATCTGAGCCGAATAGCTTGGGAATTATGTAGAAGTAGCTCCATGCCAACCAGCACAAGTCCGAGAAAGCCGACGACAACACCGGCCTCAACTTCCCTCGGCCCAGGTGATTGCCATGAAGTACCTGTGTGCACTTCACTCACCAGGGGTGGACCGTGAAAGGGTCACAAGGGGCACCTGTCCGCAGTGCGCAGACAGCAGCAGGGACATCTAACTCCCAAGAGCCAAATGGCATCATAAAAAGTGTACCTTTTTTGGTTTCTGTACGTTTTCAATCATTTGTGCTCGAGTGGTATGTTTATGCTCGAAAGTGTGATTAGTGCTACGAAAAAGCAAATCGACACATATATACGCTCGGATGAAGACCTAGGTGTGGTTCACATCCGTTCAAGAAAATGGGTGGCGCACACCATGGCGCACCACCATGTTGAGCTTCCCCATGTGTTTGAGCCATGTGTTGAAGCCAGGGCTTATTTGGAAGGGAACGAAATAAATTGTTCGCACGCTCCATGATGCTCGGCTCTTCTTTACGTAACATGAGAGTGTATTCCAAGATTAGAGACTTATCGTCATTCTTCTTTACATGTCATCTTCTTTACGTTTTACGGGTGTATTCCCTATGAAGGATGACATGAGACTTCGCCAAGAAGAGACTCTCCTTGCGTCCCTCGCGCCTCCCTCCGTCCTCCCGCCTTTCTCGCGCACGGTGTCGCTCCACCGCGGCGTGTCCTGGAGGTGCCGAGGCCAGTGTCCTGGCGGCCAAGGTGAAGGAGCGGGTGGAAAAACCGAAGAGCTAAACTCTATTAGGCGATCGGACGCTACGAACGGGGCGAAACTGGCCTTACCTACGCTATAGGAGCTAGAAGCTACTAGCAACAAGGCCTCCAACCTAATAGCGATCGGAGAAACTCAGCCGCCCGGGATTGGAGTTTCTGACTGCCAGGTTTGAGGATAGGGGTGCCCATGATCCACGGCCGGTCTAAATCCCGACATGGAACTCCGTGTGTGTTTGTGTGTGTGTTAGCCCCTGTATCTAAGGATGTTGCACAACCTAATTCACCTTGAATGGACCTTGAATGACTCAGCTCTTGCGAGCACCAAGCTAAGTGTGTTTAAGTGTTCTGTCTTTATTGGTTTCTTTCGCCCGTCGGGTGTGTTCTTTCAACATATATAGGGAATTCGCACATGTTCCTTCCGTGACTTGAGTCAGTCTCCCGGCCCGAACTGACGGGTGCGACGAGCGCGGGGAATGCACTTGAAGGAAGAGCTGTCGCAACGCTCGTTGAGTGAGCACCTTCTTAGCACCTTGGATCTTGAAAGGAATATACTTACATGTTTTAGGATGTTTCAAGTGGTCTTCCTGAACCGTAGCAAGCCCCCGCGGTGTTCGCTCGGCCTCGTACTCAGACCACTTGTGAACGGCCTCGTTCGGCCTCGTCTTCGGCCTCGGTCGCTCCATCACAGGACCTTGAAGCCAAACTGCTGGGAGCACAGAGAGCGAAATGCGAAGTCGGACCCGCAGACCACCGATCATCGGACCCCCAGACCACCACGGTGGGCCTGTAGACTGTCGACATGTTGGATGTCGACGTGTTGGGTGTGTCGTTTTAGGGAGACCCCCTGGCCCTGGCTGGGTAGACTGTCGACATGCAGGTCTCCCCGATGAAACACACCCACGGTGGACGTCTGAACACGTCTGAAACGACGCGAGGCGTTTCCGCCGGTCGACCGGATTCGACCGAGGCGGCACGTGAGCGACCGGAGCGATGAGTCTGGGCGACCAGAGCGACCGGTGCGAACGACGTGTGGAAGAGGGACCGAGCTCGTCTTTCAGCCGATGGTTGGGGAAAGAGACAGATGGGTTGCTGCTCATGGGATCCTGAGGCACACATCCAAGCTACAGATCCAAGCCTTGAAAAATTGAGAAAGCCTCTGATTTTCAGAACACAGAGTCTCTGGTGACCCATGGTGCTTCTGGATGCTTAGTCGCCCCATCTCGGCCCATCTGACGGGGGGATGCGTTTAAGGGGGGGAAGAGTCAGGGTCACACCCAAATGGACGAACTCAGGACAGCGAGGGTCCTCCAAATGGCTCAATTGAGTTTCACTGGCGAACTCCTCATTCTGAGGCGCGCCTTTGAACAGTCTCGGGCCGCTGGCGAGGAGACTGTGAGGATGGGGTGAGGGCAGAGGATCTCTACCCTAAGCTTCCAACCACCATTAATTTAATAGGGTGTACCAAATCAACTAAGGATTTTACACTACAAACACCAGGTCAACAATTGTTTAATGATCTTGGAAGTTTAGGGTCTATATACTTTAATGGAGGGCTCCAACAGATCAAAAGAGCCCCAAAAGTCAAGGAAGCCGCCGGCCAGCCGCCTTCCCTTCGACCATTTAAACAAAATGTGACCTGCTTTTGTAGTGCGAAATCCTTAGTAAAACAATGATGGTTGTTTGATGAAGCAGGTTAATTAAATCAATGGTGGCTGGAATCCTTGGGGGAAGCTTTGCAGAAATGTTGAGCAGGTTTTTGGTGTTCACTTGAAGGGAAATGATAGGCCATCTGCTCGTTTGAAGTAAAAGCGAAACCCAACGGAAGGTTTTGATGTGGTTCTTGTTGTTCGCATCATTTGTTTGCTACAGACCACATTGCCTGCATCGCACTGGGCCCGTTTGGGAGAAAAGAACCACCACCAACTCATTCCGGTGCCTCCCAGACAGATTGCCTCCCAGCCAGGGGTGCCTTCGTCAGTGCCGAGACTCCCGCGGGTGGGTGAATCCTTCATGTGGGCACCTCGTCACCACACAACCTGTCACCCCATGACCTGTCACTCCGTTCGGAACCGGCACCCCGACCTGGGACTACTGGCGCGACTGTCGTGCGAAGTCCGGTCGCGCCTGTCGTGCCGCGTGACGCGAGTGACGCTTTTGCCGCGCGCGGCGCTACGCGCGGTGCCCGCCGTCAGGAGCGGGAAGGTGCCGAGTTACGCCGACAGCTCCAACAGGCGGAGCGGGGGAAGGGGAGAAGCCGTGGGACCCGCCGGTTCGGGCGGGCGTTCCGGTTTGGAGCACACCATTCGGCTGGAGCGTTGCAACCGTTCAGGTGGCCTGTCCGATTCTTCTGTTCATGTCCGGGAGGTTCCAGCGTCATCATGCCATCATCATGCCCTATACTAGCGGTGTTTGGAATGTTTTGGACCGAAAAAGATGCTTCGCAGTTGTTTCGACTCGTTCGGGGTGTTGAAGGGCATTGAACACTGACGTTTTCACACGTCCGGGAGCGGGTCTGGCTGGGGCTGAAACACAGCCCGGTCTCCTTGGTCCAAAGGGCATTTTGCCGGGTCTTAGCGCCCAAGAGACTCCAAGTTTCACACCTGAGGTGGTCTGAGGAGTTTCACATAGGAAGTTACCACTGGAAGGAGGCTCTTCTTTCACCCACTTGGGTTTGCAACTACAAAAGTGGAACCCCCTTAGCTGGAAGTTGTTGAGGGATTCGAAGCTGGACAGATCCCAAGTCTTGGCGGTCACCAAGATTTCAGCCTTTTGAAAGCTGCTGGCCAGGGACAGTTTTGTGTTGAATGCGATGGAAAGACCGTGTTGGCCGCATCTGTTAAAAGGTTCTTTGCAGAACCCGTGGAAGGTGTCAAAAGGATCTTCCTCGGTTTGAATCCGCGTCTCGCCCGAGGCAGTGGAGGAGCAGCTGCAAGCCGTCGAGAAGGCGCAGTCCGATCGCCGTCCCAAAGAGCGGACTCGGAGGTCCGCTGGAGGACTCCGAAGGTCTGCGAGGACTAGCAGGGTGGAGGCCATTACTAGTAACACTATTAAGAAGCTATATATTTAGGTTGGAGGCCATCGCTAGTCGGTCGGCAGTCCCAAAAAGGACATCAGAACCTGCCTGGGCGTTTGGAAGGAACGAACCGATGCCTGCCGGCTGGAGGAATGTGCTGGGGCACATGATCCACTCACGGATGGAATGGAACATACTCCGATGTGGAACCGGGAACGCCGAAACACGTTCGACCAAAACCAAAAGGGGGTGAACCGGCCTGGTGTCGTAGTGTACAATAGAAGAATGGTTGTTCAGTAAATGATAAAGCCTGTTTTGAAGTAAGTTGTGTTATAACATTCCGATATGTTCTGTTTCTTCCCCTGACCTGCCCACCAAGCAGCACCCCCTTTGTTTCTATTCGCTTACCTGCCGCCTCGGATGCGGTGGGGTGGACACACGTCCACGGCGACCCGTGCAGGCCAAAGCATGGCAGCAGCACCTGGAAACTGCCCAAAGCCAAATCGCGGCCGCTTGGGCGCCGGTGATGGTCTGTGTCGGTCATCCGAACGGGAGAGAAGTCCTCCGTCGGGAGTTCGGGAGTTCGGGTGTCGAACTGGGATAGGAGAAGGATGGAGAGATGGAGAGATGAAGGACAGCTACTCCTACCGGAGTCCAATCCGGCCAAGGGCGGTCTGGCGGGTTAGACTGCCCTGCGCGACGACTGTGGACCTCCATTTCCAGACAGGAGGATGGGCGAAAAAGCATGCCCCATAGACAATCCCGACTTCGTGGGGAAACCACTTTTCACATAAATAAGCACCTCTTCTGTGCTCTTCTGGACACCATGGATTTGGTGTCACCAAGTGGAGTGTCCACGCTCGATGTGGTCGTCGACGTTTTGGACGGTGAACCCGGACGTCCGGGGCGGTTCTCCGCTCAGGACTTGACCAGCGAACTTGAGGAGAGCTGTGGGGGGGAACTGCGTGGGGATGGAAACCGAGATGGGCGCTGGGATTGTTGCATGGTTTCAGGACCTGGACCAAAGGGGAAAATACTCCACAAAACTGCTTAGTGAGTGTTTGTTGGATTCCCAGGAAGGGTAAAATTAGCCCTTGGAAGGTCCGGGGATCAGGAGTTTGAGGTGCATTGATGCTCGCAGGTGCATCGTTTTCGTGGTCAAGGCTTCATCACAAGTTCCAAGCCACAACCACCTCCAGACCAAGAGGACTGTTTTTAGGGGGCCTCCATCTTCAGAACTCTTCCACCAAGCTCTTTTCGATGGATGTGAAAAAAAAGAAAATGCTAAGAAAATGCGGCCCATCGCTAGTAGGTTGGAGGCCAGTGCTATTAGGTGTCCTTATTATTGTTGATTCTTTATTTATTCATTCCGTTTGTTCCTAGTAGCGAACCTTGTTCCTAGTAGTAAGGCCAGGAGCCCCTAGTAGCGTCCTTGTTCCTAGTAGCGAACATTGCTCCTAGTAGTAAGGCCAGGAGCCCATAGTAGCGTCCTTGTTCCTAGTAGCGAACATTGCTCCTAGTAGTAAGGCCAGGAGCCCCTAGTAGCGTCCTTGTTCCTAGTAGCGAACATTGCTCCTAGTAGTAAGGCCAGGAGCCCGTAGTAGCGTCCTTGTTCCTAGTAGCGAGCATTGCTCCTAGTAGTAAGGGGAGCCCCTAGTAGCGTCCTTGTTCCTAGTAGCGAACCTTGTTCCCAGTAGTAAGCGAATATTGCTCCTAGTAGTAAGGCCAGGAGCCCCTAGTAGCGTCCTTGTTCCTAGTAGCGAACATTTGCTCCTAGTAGTAAGGCCAGGAGCCCCTAGTAGCGTCCTTGTTCCTAGTAGCGAACATTGCTCCTAGTAGTAAGGCCAGGAGCCCCTAGTAGCGTCCTTGTTCCTAGTAGCGAATATTGCTCCTAGTAGTAAGGCCAGGAGCCCCTAGTAGCGTCCTTGTTCCTAGTAGCGAACATTGCTCCTAGTAGTAAGTAAGGGGAGCCCCTAGTAGCGTCCTTGTTCCTAGTAGCGAACATT